AAATTTGAGGAACACAGGACAAAAAAAAAAAAAAAACGGGGACCAAAAAAAAAAAAAACAAAAAAAAAGGAGCCCCCACGAAAAAAAAAAAAAAAAAAAAAAAAAAAAAAGCTAAACTCAGTGTAGAAATGCTGTTCTGGTTCAATGTGCAGGCATTTAATGTTTTGTTGCTTTTTCAGACCAGGCTACAGCAACTGACATAATGTAGCCTCAGCCACCTAAGTAACTTTAGCAGAAACTTCACTTCTCGCGTTTATGGTAATCTTGGTTTTTCTTTCCCCCAGATGATGTCAAAGATAAATCTTACAAATTATTTTATATTTGTTAGCATGATTCAGTCAATTTACTTCTTTCTTTTTAGGGGTGACCTCATAAATAAATAGTGGGTAGGATCAATTACAAGACACATATAAAAATACTCCCAGCCCGCTTTATAAAAATACTCCCAGCCCGCTTCTCTCTAGTTGATTTCCAAGGCAGAGAGAGTAAACAGCCTTCTCCCAGCTTTCTCACTGTCCACAGCTGAGAGTGTAGGGTGTTTACAGTATCTGTCCCTCAGTGCTCTCTGGGGCGGGGCTGGTGGGCAGCAGTGCAAGCCTTGGGAAACCCAGCATCATTTCAAGATACCATAAAGTGTCACGGGAAAGGACCCGAAAACATTCTTGGGACTAAATTATCGTTCTCTGAGGACTGGTGTCCTCGTCCTGCTCTGCACGGAATTCTCCTGAGGTGTGGATTCTCCTGAGGTGTGCAGCTTTGGCCTTTGCACACTCATGGATTCTGTAAACATGGGATTTTCAATATTCTAGGATTTTCCAAAATGGTCTCAAAAGACTCACTCACCCCTTAAATGGCTGCACGTTTCCTTTCTGGGTGTAGAATCCAGCGGCTCACTGTCTGAGCCTTGCAACTTTGTTTCCACTCACTCCCGCATATAACAGAACAATGGACTTGCAGACAGAAGACCACCTGTCAGTTTAACTACTGAAAGTTAGTTACTTTACCTATCCATAAATTCAGTCAAATGAGCAAAAAGTAAATATGATTGGATGCAAGTTATATGCATAAAAATGGTGTATGGGAAATTGCTAACATAATGCTGAAACTTAAAAAATCTAGTATTTGGAAGGAAGCAAATCTGTAATTAGAGGCATATACATGAGTGGAGTTACTTGATACCTAAAGTTCTTTCCGAAGAAAGATTTATCCAAATGGTTCTTGGACTTCATTTGCTAGATTGATCTATGGTGCACAAAATGCTTGTGTGAAAGTCATCAATACTATACATTACAAAACAACCCTCGGTGATAGAACACCACACCGTAAACCAAAGTGGCATCGGATATCAAACTCTTACTGGACACTGTTCATTCATTCATTCAACAAACACGTGTGAGTGCCTACCATAAATCAGCAATGTTTTAAATTCTGAGTGGTGAGAAATGAACGGGGTCAACCCTGCCCTCGAGAAAGACACAGCCTGGTCTTCAGGACACGTAAACCATTATCGTTAAGCGTGACAGGTGCCGCGGTCGGTCAAAAGACACTTCCCAGTTGGCTGACACCTGGGCTGAGTCTTAAAGATGGAACAAATTTAGCCAAGTGGAGATGGGGCCAACGGGGGTTTGGACAGAGTGGGCAGGGAAGGAGATGGGGAGCTGCAAGTGTACCTCAAGAACAGCCACACAACGGGGACCTTCAAGAATTCAGCAGAGTGGGGGCCACATGTGGATAAGGGTGAAGGGAGGTGAGGCCAGGGGCTGGGGCAGAAGGAGGATGCCGCGGGTCCCCAAACGCCCGGCGAAGACGTTCGGGCATCATCTCCAAACTAGGGAGGCAAGTGGCACGGCCACGCCTGCCCTTGGGAGGGGACTTCAGCTGCGAGGCTGCGGGGAAAGAAGACGAGGGAAAGGATGCCTGCAGCCAGGTGCAG